ATAATTGAAAATGAATCTTGATGTGAATGGAATGGGAGAGGGAGTAGAAGATGGGAGGGGTGCGGGTGGGAGGGAAGTTATGGGGGGGAAAAAGCCATTGTAATCCATAACCTGTACTTTGGAAATTTATATTTACTAAATAAAAGTTAAAAAAAAAGAAATTCACCAAATAGGAATTCTTGAAAAATAATTATATGGCCTCCAAGCAACAATCTCAAAAGACATAGAAAGGATATAAACATAGTTAAGAAACAAATATGTGGGGTTGGCACTGTAGTGTAGCGAGTTAAGCTGCCACATGCAGCACCAGCATCCCATATGAGAAGTGGTTTGAGTCCTGGCTGCTCCACTTTTGAGCCAGCTACCTGTTAATGCACCTGGGAAAGCAGAGGAAGATGGGCCAAGTGCTTGGGCCCCTGCACACATGTGGGAGACCCAGATGAAGCTCTAGGTTTCTGGCTTCTGTTTGGCCCAGCCCTAGCCATTGAGGCCATTTGGGGAGTGAACCAGCAGGTGGGAGAACTCTCTCTCTCTCTGTCTCTCTCTCTCTGTCTGTAACTCTGCCCCTCAAATAAATAAATAAATCTTAAAAAAAGAAATAAATGTCTGAATCTATATATTTTCCTCTTGAGTCTTTTATCAAATCGAAGGCTTCAGATAAAATCTGTATAAGTCTATGAGTATATGCACTTATTTCTATACCTAGAATAGATCTTATCAATTTGTTAGAATAGAAAAGTAGCAAGTATAGGACTACTGTGCTGAAATTCATATTTCACAACACACGCTCCAAAGGGCTTACCAAGAAGTGATATTGAGAGAAGATTTTCCTTCCCAGGGATCTGTCTCCCACACTAGATTGGGAACTCCTTAAGGTAAGAGATATTCTGTGTCTCACTGGCTCCTTTGCCGACTGATGGGCATAGAATCAGTTTTCAACAAAGGTTTGTTAAGTCAATGAGTCAGCAGTTGCATGAAGCTCTGCTTTGCTCCATGTCTCAAATTTCCTAACCCAGAAATACCTTGACATTTAAACAACTAGTGTCATTAAACTGGACGAGGGACATAGTCGCATGGTGGCTTCTCAGGTCAGACCCAGCCTACTCATTCTTAAAACCTCAAAGGCATCTGTATTAGTCTGTATTTCATTACTTTGACTAAAAACCTAAGAAGAGTTTCTTGGGCAAGAAAAGGCTTGTTTCAGCTCAGTTTAGAAGTTCCAGTTCCACATCAAGTGGCCCCACAGTCTAGTGTCTGGCGGAAGTGGAATAACCATCACACGGTGATCCAGGAGGCAGACAGAAAAAACTAAGCCAAACTTGAACTCAAATAAGCAACACTCAAGAGCCACCCTATGGGGGCATGTCACCAATGACCTAAAGACCCCCTCACCACACCCATTCTCAGATGCCATAATTAGATAAGTCTCCACCTTTAATCCATCAATCCTTAACAGAGTTTAAATATCTTGCATGAGTTTGGGAAAGGTAAGTCTTACTCAGCAACCTGAGCATTTTTATCATAATGTTGGTGAAGAAAATTATGACATTTGCACTGAATTTTATTAATTAATTTTATTCACTGCCTAATTCAGTTTTCAAGGGGAATGCTTAGCAAGCTATCTAGACAAACAGTAGGTGTCTTATTGGAACAGAGAATCCTAAACTATGCATGCAAGTTCAGCAGTGAATCTCTTTTCCTTATTCTTCCAAGCTGAGGACTAACATTCTCAAGATCCACCCCGAAATGTGTTTCCCCAGTTCTTCTATGTAACTCCATTGTGGCAACCATTCATCCTGATTGAGGGCTCTACTTCCCCATTCAGGATGTGCTGTGACCTGAATCTGGTATTGGCCTGAGGCAATGAAGAGTAGTGAAGTTGAGCTTGAGGAGAACCAGCCAGTTACCTGCCTCACCCTCACATAAGGTATTGCATGATGGAAGGGTGAAGGAGCTGCTCCTACCAACGAAGAGAACAGAGAAGAATTTAGGGAGCTAAGGTTATCATCACTGTCAGCTGTCTTTTGTCACTATAACAAATACCTGAAAGAAGCTACTTTCCAAAGGAAGAAGGTTTATATTGGTCCATGACTTCAGAGGTTCATAGATGAAATAATTGGGCAGCCCCATTGGTCTGTCATCTGATGAAGGCAATGGATGGCAGAACACACGCAGAGGAAGGAGCACATGGCGAGCCAGAAAAGAGAGAGACTGGAACACACTCATTCTCATCCTCCATGTCCATGTGATCTTTCTTTACAAAGCCACCATGAGGGGGTTGGGCACTTTGTGGAGGAGTTAAGTTGCCACTTGGGTGCTGGCATCCCATATCACAGTGCCTGGTTTGAGTCCCAGCTACTATGCTTCCAATTCAGCTTCCTACTAATGGGTACCCTGGGAGGCATCAGATGATGGCTCAAGGACTTGGGTCCCTGCAACCTGGAAGAGTAACCTAAATGGCATTCTGGGCTTTGGTCTGGTCCAGTCATAGTTGTTGCAGGCATTTGGGAAGTGAATCAGTGGGTAGAACATATCTCTCCCCTCCCCCACTCCCTCTCACTCCTTCTCCACTTTTCAAGTAAAATTAAAATATTTTTTAAATGTCACCATGATTTGATTACTAGGGCTCTCCCCCAAATCTAACCCAATCTAATCACTTCCCAAGACCATGCCCTCAGACACTATAATTGGGTTAAGTATCCACCCTTTCAGCACTACTAATATAAGACTTTGGAGTTCAAACATCTGCATGAGTTGGGGAGCCAAATCATGTTTAAACTATAGCATTCTGCCCTTGGCTCACCATAACTCATGTCCTTACATATAGCAATCTTTCCATCTTCAGTAGTTTTAAAATCTTAATTCAGTCTGACATTCAAAATCCAAAGACCCAGCTGAGACTCAAGGCAAACTCCCCTAGCTATGAGTTCCTGAAAACTCAAGACCAAGTTATGAAATTCCAAGAAACAATGGCAGGACGGGCACCGGGTATGCTTTTCCATTTCAAAAGGAGGATACAATGAAATAGAAAGGATTAATCCAACCAAAGAAAGGTATAAAATTGACAAAATAGACATTAAATCCTAAGGTGTCTGCGGCTGGTGCCGTGGCTCACTAGGCTAATCCTCTGCCTACGGCGCCGGCACCCCGGGTTCTAGTCCTGGTCGGGGCACCGGATTCTGTCCCGGTTGCTCCTCTTCCAGTCCAGCTCTCTGCTGTGACCCAGGAAGGCAGCGGAGGAGGGCCCAAGTGCTTGGGCCCTGCCTCCACATGGGAAACCAGGAGGAAGCACCTGGCTCCTGGCTTCAGATCTGCGCAGCGCGCCGGCCATAGCGGCCATTTGGGGGGTGAACCAATGGAAAAAGGAAGACCATTCTCTCCCTCTCTCTCTCTCTCTCTCTCTCTCTCTCTCACTGTCTATAACTCTCTCTCTCTCTGTCTCTCCCTCTCACTGAAAAAAAAAATCCTAAGGTGTCCAAACATCCTGCATGCCCTGTGGTGGGAGTAGGCACAGCCCTACAGCTTTGGTGGGCACAGCCTATGCTTCAGTCCTCACATGTTGGAATGCCACCTGTGACACTCCAGTAGGCAGTCCTGCTGGGAGCCCTCTGTGATAGTTCTGACCTCCCACTTGGCATTGCCTTGGTGGGACCTCTCGGAATTGATCTTGGTCCTGCAACTGTTCTCTCTCTGGGTTTCCAGGTTCTTTGAGACAGTCCTGGAAATCTAGGTAGAGGCCTCCTTGCCTCTACTACTCTGTTGGTCTCTACCCATGTGACTATTGCTGAAGATGAGTACTGATGTCCACAGCACACCTTTCCAGGACTTGCACTGGATATCGCTTGCAGCTTTTTCCCAGTGGATGTTTCATGATGCTGGTACCTCAACCTTTATGAGTTCTCTACTGTGGCTTCTCCCCCATAGCTCTACTATGCATCACCCTACTGGGGCTCTTTGCAAGTCCTCCAAACTGTGGCACAACTCTGCCTGGCCTCCTAGGCTTTCCTTTGAAATCGCTATGGATGCTATCATGATCCTATAGCTCTTGGATTTTGCATGGCTGCAAAACCAGAACCACATGGATACTGCCAAGATCTGCCACCAGCAGGGGCCATGACTGGACTATTTGAAACACAGTTGCAGTGGCCTGAAAGCATGTCCCCAGCAAGCCAGGATCCAGAACTGGTCCTGAATGAGCAGGACATCCTGGGGAGCTTTCCTGAAAAGATTCTTCCCTGAAAGATCTTTGACATAAATTCACACGTCTAGACCTCTGATAGGATTGTGATGGGAGGGACTGCCTAAAAGATGTCTGAAATGCCTTTAGAGTCTTCCTCCCACTGCCTTGCCCATTGGCACATGGCTCCCTTATACCTGGGCTAATCACTTTAGTGAGTGACGACTCTACTTCCTGGCCTAAGCATCTTTTTTCTTTGTTCTTTCTATGGCCAGACTATATTTTTCAAACCTTTATACTCTGTTCCTTTGTGCTTCTGGTTCTCACTGTAACACTAACAGTAGCCAACTGAACATTTTGCTGCCTTGAAATCTCTGCCAAGCACATTAGTCCATTGTCTATGTTCAAACTTCCATGAAGTCTCAGGACAGAGACACAACACAGCCAGGTTCTTTGCCATGACACAATAAGGTTGGTCTTTAGTCCATTTCCCAATAGACCCCTCATTTCCATCTGAAACTTCATCAGCATGGCTTTTAGCATCCGCATTTCTATCAGCATTCTGATATTTTTGAGGCCTAATCAGAATCGCACATGGTACTCTGCTTTCAGCAAAGTCTAAACTTTCTCTGGCTTGCTCCCTCAAACTCTTCTAACTTCTCTAGCAAATCATTTCCAAAGACTTTTCCACGTCTTCGGGTATAGGCAATAATAGTAACTCTGCTCCTCTGTACCAGTTTTCTATATTAGTCAATTTTTTGGTCCCTATAACAAATATCTGAGAAAAGTTACTTATGAATAAATAAGGTTGATTTAGGCTTACATTTTTGGAGATTCATAGTCCAAGATCAGGTGGCCCCACTGGACTGGCATCTGATGAGAGTGGTAGATGGTGGAATGGATACAGAGCATCCCAGGTCTCGAAGTCACCAACTTTTCTGATCAAGGTCCTCACACTAACATAGGAGACCTGTGGAGGTGGTACACATGTCTTTCACTTCTGACACCCTTACAACAAAATCCTGAGCCTGATTTCCAGCAAAGTATTCATGATGTTTTAGTCCCTTAAAGCAGACTTAAGAACAGTCAGACTTACAGAGCATTGCTTAACCATGTCAAGAATTCTCTTTTTCTAAAACTACCAATGCCTTCAAAAGAAGACACCTGATGGCATAATCCTTATAAATTTTCTTTCTCCCAAACAACTAAATGTGTCAGTAACACATTTACCAATGACTTGCCTTCTAATGACATTTTTCAATAAGCCATGAGAGAAAACTTTAGTAATTGAAATGAATTATCAGAAGAGTGTCTCCTTCAACAAAATCTACCTCCAAATCTCAGAATCTACATGTCGACTAATGAAGTTGTGATTAAGGTAAAGTATTTTGCTATGATTAAGGTTAAGTATTTTGACTAATAGAGTTGTGATTAAGGTTAAGTATTTTGCTATAAAGAGATTGTCCTGGATTGTCAGATGGGTCCAAACTAATTGCATGAGTACTTAGAAACAGAGATATTTTTGTGGCTATGTAATAGAGAGACTTGTAACAATAGAAGCAGGGTTAGACAGATGTCATTTGTGGCCTTTGAGACAGGGGAAGGCTTCACTTGCCAAGGAATGCAGGTGACTTTAAAAACTGGAGAAGGCTAGGAAACATGCTACCTTCTCCAGGCAGAGTTCCTGGGATGGAGCAAAGCCCTACTCACACCTTGATTTTAACCCAGTGAGACCTCTGCCCAACTTCTAGTCTACCAAACTTAGCTAGAATAAATTAATACATGTTCTTTCTTTAAGTCACTCTGATTGTGATAGTGTGTCACCACAGCAATAGAAAGCTAATTCAGCGTGGCATTGCCATTGCCTGCCAAGGTTATCAACCTTCCACTCACCACCAGCTGTGGAGCTCCTCTTGCTTTCAAAAAGACAAGAAATCCAACTCTCAATCCAGTCCTGAAGTTTTGCTTTCTAGACTCATTCTTGCTGCCAGTCATCTTACTCTGGTTTCCTTCGAAAACAAGCTTGTGGCAAAGCTCACACAAGAAGGTTTTAGGAAAATATAACCCCAGGATAGCCAAAGTAAGGGGGGAAGGAGATAGAATCAGCAAATATAAAGCATTCATTACTTGCCTATCTAGCCCCAGAGTGATGAGAAAACACACCCAGGTGCTTGGTTACGTGGCGCTTTTCCAGAGAGCCCACATGAAACCACTCACTTCCGAAGAGTCCATCATGGAACAAAGGGAGATGAATGTATCCTCTGGGGAACATCTCCTGTCCTCCTCAGTCAGAATGTTCCTTCCACTCCTCCACTAGGACAGCTGCTAGTGAACCCAGGTCCCATGTCCTGTAGTGCGGAGCTGCATCCGAATCAGAAGTGGTGAGAAGAGCCAGGACCCTTTCAGGCCTGTCAGGTCATGGTTGAATCCTGGATAATGCAGCTTCTACCAGCACAAGCACACTGGGGTCCAGGGAAGAGTCCAAGTCTCACCTGGAGGATGAGTTATCATGAAACGGCCAGAGATGGAAGAAGAAGAAGGTTTTCCATTACGTGGGCAGCCAGGGCCTGGGGGACAAGAAGGCAATGTGAATCCAGAAAGGCATGTAACTTGTGCCTGATCAAATAGCTTATCAATTTTCAAGATGTGAGTCCTTGAAAATTAGAAATCTAAAACAAATAGATAACAGGGTCAAATTCTCTATTTTTAAGAGTTTTGTAACCAGGGGCTGGCGCTGTAGTGCAGTGGGTTAACACCCTGGCCTGAAGCTCCGGCATCCCATATGGGCGGCAGTTCGAATCCCAGCTGCTCCACTTCCTGTCCAGCTCTCTGCTATGGCCTGGGAAAGCGTAGAAAATGACTCAAGTCCTTGGGCTCCTGCACCCACGTGGGAGACCAGGAAGAGGCTACTGGCTCCTGACTCCTGGCTTCGGATCGGCACAGCTCTAATCGTTGCAGCCATCTGGGGAGTGAACCATCAGATGGAAGACCTCTCTCTCTGCCTCTCATCTCTCTGTGTAACTCTGACTTTCAAATAAATAAATAAATCTTTAAAAAAAAAAGTTTTGTAACCAAAAAAATTCCATGTACCATAATCACCTAATTCTTAATTAGTATATGCAGCTAAACAAACATTAGGATTGACCAGCCATGCCCAGTGAATTTTTTTTGGACTGCCTTGGAAAGATTTTATTTTTTTGAATCTAACATTTCTGTGTTCGATTAGTGTTACTTTTAGTGTACAATGTGGATATTGGAAAAACCAGACTGTCTTGTTGGAAGGACTGGACCTGCTATCCATTGATACACTTTGATTTTAGATGTCTTAGCAGCAAATGGCACTACCATCTTCAGTCCATTTGTGGAGTAACTTCTTCCATGGAGCAATGTTCTTCAACAAACATGTCAGTTGATATTCTTCTTCAGTGATTTTTACCAGAATCATTTCTTACACACACAAACACACACACACACCTACCTACCCTCATTGGCTTTTTAACTCTAAGCTATTTCCATATCACACTTATGGCTGTTATTACAATTAACCTAGTATTTATAGCTATTAAAATCAAAGTTAGTTACAATGAAGTTCATAACACAACACTGTACAATTTTGTTTCTTACTGGTTTCAATTTCAGGAAAAGCAGCCCAAGGAAGACCACAGGGATCACCTAACATACTGATTTTGAGGCTTGAAAACACTGATACAGGCTGTTGAAGGTCTGGATTATCCTTCCTATAAATATCCAAATTGCTTAAAGCACTGGACTTCCCCCTATGTAGTGCAGTATGGAAGTCATCACGAGTCTCCAAACTTAAAAAAAGAAAACAAAAAACCAAACCAAAGAGTTAGGTGAGCATATGCTCTTATAAATTGGGTGTGGTGGGGAACCTAACCTAAGGTCTCTTCATGTTCTAAGCTTATAAAGCTACACAACAGCTGCAGTTTTCTGTTCAAAGCTCACCTTTAGCTTTCTAGGCAGTGTCCAAATAATGGAGACCAGAGACCACACCAGAGACCAGTGAAGTTAACTTCTTGGCTCTAGAAAAATTTGTGAAAATAACAGGTGACAACAAAAATGGGTTTTTATAAGAGTTACAGCTGTAGATGTTTTTAAGCATGCTCAGATATCCAAAGTAGTTTCAATACGTAGCATGCAGAGTAAAACACAGTGGATTGAAATAGTAATAGGCTGTTGGCACTGTTGAAATAATGTGGGCCTGGTAAATAAATTATTTCATATAAAAATTATTTCAGAGTATCCTCTGATACTGTTTCTGAACATGTTAAACAAGAATCAATAAATTCAGTAGGGCTCTATGTTATCTTAGTGGCTCTTAAGATTTAGTATGTGTGATGGTTAATTTTCTGGTGTCAACTTGACAGGATTAAGGAATACCCAGAAGCCTAGAAAAAAGCATTATTTTGAGCATGTCTACAAGGGCGTCTCCAAATGAGATGTGTTTTTTTGTTTTTTTTTGGGGGGGGGGGGGGGACAGGCAGAGTTAGCCGGTGAGAGAGAAAGAGAGAGAAAGGTCTTCCTTTGCCGTTGGTTCACCCCCTCCAAGTGGCCACTACGGCTAGTGCTGTGCCAATCCAAAGCCAGGAGCCAGGTGCTTCTCCTGGTCTCCCATGCGGGTGCAGGGCCCAAGGACTTGGGCCATCCTCCACTGCACTCCTGGGCCACAGCAGAGAGCTGGACTGGAAGAGGAGCAACCGGGACAGAATCTGGTGCCCTGACCGGGACTAGAACCCGGGGTTCCGGCGCCGCAGGCAGAGGATTAGCCTAGTGAGCCTAGTGAGCCGCGGCGCCGGCCTCCAAATGAGATTCTTACATGAATCCAAATGTGCAAGGTGGGAAGACCTGACCTCGATATGGGCAGGAATCAGCCATGGACTTGAGACCTGGAGAGACAAAAATGGGAAGGCAGCTTGGGGCTCTAATGCAGATAAAGCTAGAACACATTCAGCGCCTGTCTTGGAGGTCAGTTGCTGGCCTTTGGACTCCAGGACTACGCCCATGGCTCCCTTGCTGGTTCTCAGGCTTTCTGGCCTCAAACTGAGACTGCTACCCTCAGCTTCTCTGGGCCTGAAGCCCTTGGACTTGGGCTCAGCTGCCACCATCACGTGAGCCAAACCCCCTAATGAATTCTCTGTCATCTTTTTCATTTTTTTTTTAAGATTTATTTACTTATTTGAAAGGCAAAGAGAGACAGAGAGAGACAGGTATCTTCCACCCACTGGTCTGTAGAGGACACTCCCCTGAAATTAAGAGGCATGGTGGGTGGCAGTCCTGTATCTGCCTATGCAGGCTGGGCGAGGCACACCCTCCCAACAGAATGCAGCTGCAGAAGCAGCAGGGGGCTAATGGGCTTTAATTAGTACCTGGTGTTTTCAGGAACTTGAACTTGCAATAGCATTTGAATGGGCCTGTGTTTAAAGGTACACACCACCTTTCTGTTCTCTGTCACGGATCCCCAGACCAGATTCCTTTGCCTTATTCCCACCATAAAGTTGACGTACAACTTTGCCTATGTGCTTGCTTGCATGTGTAGTTTTTTTGGACCCTAAAATAAAAAGTGCCATCCGGGAGCTATACGGCAGTGCTTTTCTAAGGAAGGCTGTTCTTTGTCAGTTAGCGACACTGGTCCACTTCTTAAATGCCCACAACAGCCAGTGCAGGGCCAGGCTGAAAGTAGGAGCCAGGGTTCCAGCACTGTGGCATAGTGGGTAAAGCCACCAACTGCAGTGCCGGCTTCCCATATGGGCACCAGTTCTGATTCAGCTCTCTGCTATGGCCTGGGAAAGCAGTAGAAGATGGCCCGAGTCCCTGGGCCCTTGCACCCACATGGGAGACCCAGAAGAGGCTCCTGGCTCCTGGCTTTGGATCAGCACAGCTCCACCCACTATGACCAATTGGGGAGTAAACCAGCAAATGAAAGACCTCTCTCTCTCTCTCTCTCTCTCTCTGCCTCTCCTTCTCTCTCTGTGTAACTCTGACTTTCAAATAAATAAATCTTTAAAAAAGAAAGAAAGTAGGAGCCAGGAAGTCTGTCCAGGTTGCCCACATGGTTGGCAGGGTTCCAAGTACTAGGGCCATCTTCCACTGCTTTCCCAGGTACATTAGCAGGGGGCTGCATTGGAAGTGGAGCAGCCAAGACTCAAACCAGTGCTCCCATATGTTAGCATCACATGCAGCAGTCTAGGCCACAATTCTTCCTATACCTACATGCATATCCTATCAAGTATTTTTTTTTAAGATTTATTTGTTTATTTGAAACAGCAGAGTTACAGAGAGAGAGGGGGAAGGAGGGAGGAAGGGAGGAGAGGAGAGAGAGACAGACAGAATTTCCAACTGCTGGTTCACTCCCCAGATGGCCACAGTGGGCAGAGCCAGGCTGATCTGAATCCAGGAGCCAGGAACTTCATCCAGGTATCCTACATGGGTGCAGGGGCCCAAGAACTTAGGCCATCCTCCACTGCTTTCCCAGGCACATTAGCAGAGAGCTGGATTTGAAGTGGGGTAGCCGGGGCTGGAACCTGTGCCCATATGGGATGCGGCACTGCAGGCAGCAGCTTTACCCTCTATGCCACAGTGCCAGCCCCTTATCAAGTATTTCTAGAGAGCCCTGACCAATACAGTATATTTAAGAATCACCTGTATACTTGTTAAATATGCCCATCTTGGTACCCATCCTCATAAATTTTGATTAAAATAAGTACATTTGAGGAGGGACCTAGAAATCTGTGCTTTATCAAGAACTCCCTCAATTCACGTGATTCTGATACAGAGACTTTACAAAGCACTATTTAAAATAATCTGTGGGGGTGTCTGTGACTTGATCTACTCTTTGGAAACCTCAGTAGATTCATGAGCAGAAAATAGCATGGAGAAGTTGGGATTGTGAGCACTGGGTACCAGATGCTCTGCCAACATCTCTCAGATACTCATGCCTTACCTGTCAGCAGGACCTTTGACTGGCCTATTTTTCATAAACCATGACCAACTTAATGGGATCACAGTCCCTCAGGATTTCATTTCATGCCTGTGCCTCCCATTCTCATGTGCTGACCTGTGGCTTCCCTGCTGACATGGAGGCATGCTACTGCATGGGACCCACCAGCACCCCCACAACGCAACCCACAACAACTAAAAAAATTAATGTCCCATGAAGCAAAACTTTGATCCAAGGAAATGGATATAGCAGATAAATGATTTACCACCCCCTCTCCCAATGGACAATCCTAAGAAGCAGTCACTCAGGCAGATACTTGGGAATTAGTGCCGTTGAGATCAAGCGACGACGCTCTGGTTCCTGCACTGACTCTTTCTGCCACCCCCTGTCCCACTCCCCTTCTCCCTCATGTGTACTTCCTGGTATTGCAATTCTTGCTAACATAAGCGGACACAGCCCTTGCCTCGGGCTTTGCTTTCTGGGAATCCAGCTAATATACACTGTATAATTATTATTTACCTGCTTATTTAAAGAATAACTTTAAACATTAACTTTATTATTTAAAGAACTATGAATCCATGCGTTCCTCTGCCATGCCCCCTTCCTCCT